CTGTTGTCATTGTTTTTCTTTTTTTTAATGTGCTCATGAGATAGGCTCTCATTATTCAGTTCAGGTTGGCCTTGAGCTCACTTTGTAGTGCTGTTATTCTCGAACTCACAACAATCCTTGTACCTCAGCCTCCCAAGTTCTGGGATTACAGGAATGCACCACCACGCCCAGCAGCTGATACATTTTTAATTAGATCTTCATTCACATTTACTGATACTGTATTTTCTAGAATTTTTATATCTTCTTGAATAAGATTTGGCATTTCATATGTTTCTAGGAATCAGTGCATTTCTATATTTTCTAATCTGTGAAAGTATAAGCTTTTCAAGTAAATATTGATGATCTTCTGAATTTTCACAGGATCTTTAATTATTTTATCCTTCTGATTCCTCAGTGCATGGTTTTCAGTCTTTACTTTTTTCTTTTATGATATGGTTTTCCAAGGGTTTATCAATTTTGTTTATTCTTTCATTGAACCACCTCTTTGATTCATTAACTATTTGTATCATTTTCTTGTTCTGCATTGCATGAATTTCTTGCCTGGTTTTATAATTTCCTCCCTTGTATGGTATTTGTGTTTGTCTTCCCATTCTTCTTCTGGAAGAATGAGATGCAACATTACATTATTTGTTTGTGTTCTTTCTATTCCCTGATGTAAGATTTGACTACTATAAATTTTCCTGTTTGGATTTCTTTCATTGAATCGCATAAGATACAGGATTTTGCATCTATGTTCTTGTTAGGTTGTAAGTGTTTTTAAATTTCTTCCTTTATTTAATCTGTCACCCCTTGGTTGTCTAGAAGAGTGTTATTTAATTTCCATATAGTTATGCAGTTTTTGCAACTTCTTTTACCATTATTTCCCACTTTAAATACATGCTTAAGAATACTAGCCTTAGGCTGCAAAGCCAGTCAAGTAATACAAGGATTAATTTTTTTATACCTCCATTGCTATCAACTCAGCACATGCTCTAAACCAGTCAGACTGTTGGTGGTGGGAGGAGGTGACTGTGGTGCTCATCTCCCAGCTAATGCAATGGCTAGCTCACAGGAAGTGTAAGTTACTTTCTTGTTTTTTTTTTTTTTTCAGAGAACCAGAATAGCTTCCACAGAATCAAAACATGGGCACATTGGTTAGTTTACCATACCATTCTCCATATGACATCCACTAGCTCACAGCAAGGGCATATTAGTTTTCTATTTCTCCTATCAGGCCTGGAATGGCTCTGGATTGTTAATTTTTTTGAGGATGTCTTAGTGGAGACATATCATAAAACCTGCATATCTGCGTTTGTGTCCTACAGAAAATAATTCATATGTGGGTCATTGATTAGAGTGGAAATAATTGCCTTGAGGAAAGTTGTGTCATGTAGGAGGATTTGGTATTGGTGAACCAAAAAAATACAGGGGTGTGGGGGATGAGGAGTCACTTTGAAGACCCTAGCCCCCTTGGACCTGCAGTAAACAATAGCCCCCAGTATGCGAGACAGAGGCGGGACAGGAATGCCTGTTCTCAGTGAAGTTCTTATCACCCTCTGAAACCATGCTGTGTGACCTGGCTTTGTTTACAGAGTCATGAGGAAGTGGCCCGCCACCTTTTGTGACATTAGCAACAACATAATTAACAACATTCTTGGGCTAATGAATTTCCTCCTGGGCTAGAGGGGCTAGAAGAATTGATGTTAATTAACTTAGATAAACATTGTAGTCTGTCACATTGTAGCTTGTCACAAGGAATGCTTTTTCACTAGTTAATTGTCTGTGCTCTGTGAATTGATCCGGTTTACTATATAAGAATCCTAGAATAAAGACTGGGCGTGCAGTGCAGTGTGGTGAAGTTGCAATTGCCGTGTTTCTCCTTCTTTTCCTTGTGCTGCACCCCCCATGTCCCGACTTGGTGTGTATGTGGGCCTCTTCCCGGAGTCCAGAGTGCACTAGACACTCCCGACACAGGGGAATATAACAGCTTTTGTATATGTGAATTGTCTTAAACAGGTTTGATACTTGTTCCTGTCATCATCCAACAATACCAGATTTCAGTGCTAAGTCTTTAAAACAGATACATTTTATGTTTCATGTTGAGGTCTTTTCCTAGAAACCAGGATTCCAAAAAGGTGTACCAAAAAGGCTCTAAGAAATGAGAAAAAAAGCATGGTCTTCAGGGCTGCTGGAGGAGAGAGATCCTTGGTAGAGCTCATCACTCTGCTAGCCAGCTGGCCAACCTCATGCAGGCAGGAGTTGAGTGCACAATGGAGGAAACCTGAACAGGATCTTGGGAGAGGTTCAAGACCCACTCCAAGCAACAGACAATGGTAACTGCAGAGAACTATCCCACAGAAAGTGTCTAGGTGGCCTCAGCTGTGGCCTATCTTGCCATTTGAGGCATCTCTTGATTCTCAGTTCAATCATGCCTGTGCCACATCACAGCCCTGCATGAGTATTCAGCTTCAATGACTCCAACATATTCCTTCTTTTTGTTTGGTTGATACACAGATGGATGACCAGCTGAAGATGTAGAAGTTGTGTTAGAGCTCCCACCACTGAACAGTCCATCCATCCATAATGGTAGTCAGTTACCAGCATAGATAGCAATTTTCTGATAATGTTAGTGATGCGAGATTCACCCACAGACAATATTTTAGAATTGCACAGTACCTCCGGAGTCCAGACTTTTCTGCAGAAGGTTCAAGATCAAGCTAACATAAGGATTACACTAAGGACAATTGGTTGGTTACTTCCTATCAAGGGCAGTTCTTATAACCATGCATAGCTCCTCATATCTCTTCTGTCAGTGTCTGCCACCTGGAAGAGTCATGGCCATTGCTTGACCATGTTGATTTCTGTGAAAACTTAGGAGATTTTTCTGGTGACTTGTGACTCTCTTTAGGCACACCTTGCATCAAAGGTCACTTTCCTCTGTGGGCTCATCATCTTCCTGATCAAGATACTAGGTACTCACTGGATATCTTCTGATGAAGAAAGCCGGTTTTCTTTTACATCCTGAGTCTCCTCCAAGCTTGAAGTGCTGTGGACAAAATATTGGCTATCCATTTAGCCCATCCGCGTCTCTCATTTTTGGTCCTAAACCTTAGCTGTTGGACATCCAGAAGAAAAGATTGATCACAATACAATACCTTAGATGCAGTAAGCTTAACATTACTTTTTTATCTAAACATTGAAACACCTTAGAACATTAAGTGAAATGTGTTTTCTACTATCCATGGATATTTTTAACATCTGAATACCTACAGTATTGATACTTGTGACAATTTTACATAGTAAATCAGAAATCAGAACCGTATATATTATTGTATTATGACATCCTTGCAATAATCTGAATTTCTCTTTTGACATAAAATATCCATTTTAGTCAAGCACCCTTATCAAATACCCAAGAAGTCTCTTATGTATCATTGACCAATTTATTGATGTTAGTGGAATGTGAATCTCACAAGTCTTTGGTATTAGGAGAGGTATGAACATGGAAAAAAATTCTGCTACCATAAGTAATCCCCATTTTACAATCTTGGAGGCCTATGCTTCCAGAAATGTGAATATATCAAATACATCATCAATTTGACAACAATAAACTGTCATAACCATGTGAAACCTTTACATAGGCATCTTCAATGCAAAAAAAGTATTAATTCTTTTGATAGTGACGAATGTGAACATTTTGGGGTACATTTCATAACTTTAGTTAACGTGTCTCCTATAAGACTATGGAGATCTTTGAGGTGTTTGATCAATAAACAAGCACTCGTTAAAAATGTTACCCGGCAGCTAGTTTAAGATTTATCAATCAGAGAGCCTTCTCCAGCAATCTCAGTCCTAAGGGACATTGTTTATTCATCCTAATAATGTCATTTCTAAATAATAAGACTATCAAGTCAAGGATAAATAACAACACATTCCATCCATATACTCAGTCTTTGTGACATTCGGAACAGCTGGCAACCAAGATAAGAGGATAAAACCAAATGAAATAAAACAGAATAGAGTGAATCAAATCAAAAGGACGATCATGGTACATCAGTTAAAAATAAAATCCAACAGTAGATTGTGTGGCATCTCAGCTGGTATAGAAAATGACTCAACACCTTGCTGAACTCCAAATTTCTCCAGATAATTGGGAGAATACCTAAATTTTGCAAGGTGTCTATTGTTAACATGTCTTGTCTAAGAAGCAATTCATATCAAGTACCAGGGAAAGAACACAGAACTTTGATTTACTATTTCCAATGTCTGGAATTTATCCCAAGAAAAAAAGATATACGCTCAATGCAGTTTTTCTAAGAGGAACTAGACTTGTGTACATGGTCAATCACAGGATAACTAAGTAAAACTCTACCTATGCATATAATATAAATATTCAACTGTACGCAAATACACAAAAGATGTGAGCAGAACTGTGGGGTATGGTTAGAGACAGCTGAATACGGACAAGATGGGTATTCTGCAGCTGGTTCAACAATGTGGGTGAATTATTTTTATTTGTGGATTTAAATTTTTAAACTTCTGATCACATTTCCTCATTCCTCAAAGCCCCATGCCACATTCAGACTCTTCACAAAGCTTAAACACACAAGAGGCGACAATATTAAAACAAGCAGAAAGCCCTTATCAATGGAGTGGACCAGAGACAAAGCATGTGCAGGTAGAATAATAACTGCTGTCTTAGTTTAACATCTAGGTCCTCTCTCAATCTCTGCAGTGAGGAGCTCCAAGTGGAATAAAATCGTCCTATTTGGGTAAATGTCCACTGCTCACTGACAGCAGAGGCCATGTGAGACCCTGAGCCGCCCTGCCACAGGTCCCACACCAGGGCTGGGCTCTCAACAGCACCTGGGGGGGGGGCGCGCCGTAAGGATACCTGGCTACATGCCAGGCCGGGACACCAACAGAGAGAAGGGAGGAAAGGAGAGAGAGCCTTGAAGACTTGAGGCTAGGTCGCCCCAGTGACACGCCCGCTGCTTCTCTGGAAAGCCAATCAAGGGCACCTGCGCCACTAAAGTCGGGGCCACGGGGCCGCGCTGCCACTCAACACCAGCTGCTGCCCACCTACCTGGCCCAGACCCCAGTCCCAGCCCAGCCACAGCCTTGGCCGAAGAAGGAAGAGTGCTCAGGTCTCCAGAAGGGGTCGCTATCGGCATAATGGCCACTCAGTGCATCCACTGTGAAGCGAGGCCGGGGGTGGGGTGGGACTGAGTGGGAAGCGAAGGCCAGTGGCTGGGGACCATCCCTGGGCGCGTGCCACCCAGGTTGGGCTGGGTGGAGTGTAATCTTCACTTGCAGCCAGGGGGTGGGGCCAAGCGATGTGAGTGGCGGGGCCAGAAGCTGGGACCCAGGAGGTGCAGAGCCTTCCAGGAGGCAGGAATGAGGCGGTGGGCATGGCAGTGGGGGTTAGGGTTTCTCTGATGCTGGGTGTGGCTGCAGGTTGAGCTTCTGGGAGACTGAGCCCCAGGCTTGCTGTGAGAGGAAGCAGAGGAGTGGACTGAGTCTGAAGCTTGGAATTTATAGATGTCTGGACTCAAATCTTCCTGGGCCTGACACCTTAGGTACACTGCTTCTCTTCTGGGAGCCTCAATTTCCATTATTGTTATTCTATTATTTTGCTTTGAAATATTGGGTGGTTTTTTCCATTAAAAAAACAAACTGTGATGAATGGCAATACTCATCTCTTGGCACTGTTGTGAAGATTCAATGAAAACCCTGCAGAGTTTTCCCATGTTTCCTACCATATAGCAAGTGCTCAGATGCCATTGTTATTTGTGCTGTTGCCCTTCTTTTATTACAGAGAAATGAGTGCTTTCGGTACCAGTCATCTGATGTCTTCATAACTTAAATATATGTTTACATGTTAATATAAACATACTAACAAGCATATGTAACACTTACAGGTGTAAGGCTAGGGCCTCTCTGAGGTGCTTTACATATGTTAACTCTTACAAGAGTAGGAGTTAGGAATTATCTTCATTTTCATAGCTGTGCAAGCCAAGACACCAACATTTAATGCCTTTTCCAGAGACAAACGAGTTGACAGAATTTTAACCCAGTGGGCCTCATATCAACACCTCTCTTAACTAACCCATGCTTTGCACAGCACTGCTACATGGATTTTTCACACGAGTGAGGCATGAAATTGTTCATGGGAGGTTGCACAGGTAGGTAGAGGCAATTTGTGTCAGGGTTCACCAGAAGGTCAGATTTAATTTGTGTATGTGTGTATGTGTCTCACATAAAGAATTTATAAAGTAGGATTAGAATGGCCATCTGTAGAGTCATGGGGAGAACACAAAAGGGCCATGTTCTCCTTGGAAATGCAGAAGAATTGGCTGAATGTTACATGGGCTGTTCATAGGCACTGTGCGAACACTTGTTGCCTTGCTTTGGGAACTCAAGGAAGATTTTTTTGGATGATGTCCCAAGGTTAGAGAATGTACATGTTCAAGACATCAGCAACAGTGGTAGTCAGTGTGGAGCAGAGTAGAGAACCACTGTTTTTGTTGTATAATTCTTACAGTTTGTTATCTCATATTTACATTCTTGTATAGTGCTCTAAGCAGTCCATGGTGGCCAGCAGAGTAGAGGGACAGTGCCAGGGAGGAAGGAGCTAAATACCAGATGGAGTACCTAGCGTCATTCCTTCATGACCCATACAGATGAACCTATTATAACTTGGGCCCCTGTATAAAATCCAAGGAGGCAAAAGACCGAAAACTTAGGTGGCAAAGGCTTTATTTCCAGGCCTGGCGACCAGTCTCCGAGAGCCAATTTGGAGACTGTCCCCCAGAGACTGAAGGGAGGACTTTGAAAAGAGGCTGGAGGAAAAGGATTGGGGGAGACAAAGAAACCTGCAGAGCCATCAAACTTGTTGACCCGAGTCTGGAATCTGTATTGCTGTCCACTTAGCTCTGACAATCTCGGGAGTTCCCTGGTGTTTCTCAAATTACTCCCATCCTACAGACTGACATTATCTCGGAGTGGCACATCTGCAGCAATATTTGGAGAAGAAAGTGGGGAAGTTAATGATCTCAGGACAGTTCATCTTCACTAGTGAGTGCAAAGGAGTCACGAGTTATGAGACACTGGAACTTGAGTTTTACAAAGATCTGATATCTAACTCATTTGATACATACAGAACAAAAGGAAAGCACCGATCGGGGTTTGGGCCATAGTATTACCTAGTAATTTCTTTTAAGCCAAGCAGTTCTTAAAATTGGGGCAGGCTCATTTTATGACAGATCATCACCGGGTCGGGGAGAGGTCACCAGAAACCCAAATTCTTCATGGCCTAGATAGATAGGTGAGGGGAGAGGAAGGCAATAAGGCGCCATACAGAACAGAAAACGGCGGTTATGTGTCAAGGTCAGGGTAAAGGGTTAAACTCATACGCAAATCTCTCTACACACAAGCAGGTTACTTTAAACAATGTGTAAATTAGTGGGTCTCCTAGTCTTCTTTAGCTCCTTAGTGAAGAGTAGAGGCGCCTAACAGTGATTAATAACCCTAGTTAGTTTGTTTTAACACCACTCTTCTTGTTTGTAGAGAGCCGCTCTGGTTAACATCTCAATTAAGTGAAATTCTTGCAATTATTTACAGAGGAGAGTATTGCTAAACATATCAATTAGATCACTTAACATATTAGTTAGGGAAAAAGGATAAAAAAACACATTTAGTAAGCCACTTTACAGGTTTGTAATAATACACATATAACGAAGCTATTTTCTTAGAGTACAACAAACCCAGAAATACACTTTACTAATCTCTTGGACAGCTCTCAAGCCCATAAAGTTGAAAATAATAATCATCACATAGCAGAAGTATTGTGATGTTAAAATTATAGGTGATTTACACACGTGCATATATACAGTTTTTTGGGTATTTTCCACCTTTAAAATTCTATCCAAAGTCAAAAAATGCTGAATTTTATGTTATAGAAATAAACTTTCCTTAGGTAAATTTTATAAAATGAACTGAAAATGACTGAGAAATAAATGAACAAGAGTTTTAAAAAGAACAGGGTATAAAAATACTCACAGGAAGAGCCAGAAATCTTTACTTTGCTTTGAACAACTACTTGAAAGACAGTTAAACAATTTCTGAGTTAAATATGCAAGACTTGAAATATTCAACCTCACACTAAGTATCTTCCCCTTGGAAATCAGTGCTATAGCTATACAAACACAAGAATGACTACAGAAACTTTATTTCTGAGATCAAAACTGGAAACACCAAAAAGGGCCTCAGCTGATGGACACGTGAGGATCTGTGGTTCATCCACACAGTGGGATGGGATGGCTCAGCCACTGACAAGGAGCAGCACTTAGGAAAACTAACATGGCTATGAGGATTGAATAAAACCTACCAGCTCCCCACAAAACAAAAACAAAAACAAAACACCCTGCCTCCTGTGTGATTACAGACCTGTCACCTCTGGGAAATAAAAAGTGTTTCCCTGAGACAAAAAGCAGACACATTGCTTAGGATGGAAGGAAGCAATTATAAGGAGCCATAAGGAATATGTGAAGGTGATGTATACATCACCACTTTGGTGACTATTTTCAAGGGGCTCATGTATGACAAGATTCCTAGAGGATTTTTTTGTTAGTTTTTAGGTTTACTTTTGTTTATTTTGGTACCAGGAACCAAATTCAGGACTCTGTGCTTGCCAGGGAGCACTTTGCCACTGAGCTATATCCCTGGTCCATGTCAAGATTCATCAAATTTTGTAGTATAAACCTGTAAGTTCATTGTATGTCAATACAATGAAATAAATTTGCTTTTAAAACACTTCTCATCTGAGCTACCCACAAAAGATTTATTTACCTATAGATTTATTAATAAGCAATTGTGTTTATTTATAGATTTATTTTTAAGCAGTTGTATTTATTTATAGATTATTTTATAAGAAGTTTTACTTATTTATAGATTTATTTATTTTTTGCTGCGCTGAAGACTGAATCCAGTTCCTTGCTCTTTTAATCATAATTTATTCCGAGACAGGGCCTTGCTAAGTTGCTAAGTTGTTTACATTGGGCTGAAATTTTATTACATTTCTTAGCATTTTTGTATACTGAAGTATAACAAATGTAACTAAATTGAATAGTCTCCAGTAAATCAATAAATACAGCTTAACAAACAATAGCTGGGTGTGATGGTACATGTAGGTAATCCTGGCACTTAGGAAGCTGAGGCAGGAGGATTTTTGCAAGTTCTAGGTCAGCCTAATTTACATAGTGAATTGAAGCCCAGCCTGAACTACACAGTGAGAGTCTCAAAAAACAAATTAATAAAATAAAATAAGATTAAACCCTGGACTAAGGCAAGGAATTATCTTCTAGTCCAGAGCATGGGCATCTTCAGAGGATTTACTTTCAAAGGTGTTATGGTTTGTATCTGGGTGTCCCCGAAAGCCTCATGAATTCACAGAGGCAGCTAAACCTAGCATCTGTGATTGGTTCATTGTTTAGTGCTGTGATTGATGATGAAATAGCGTCACCTTCCCAGGGTTTGAATTACCCAATTAAAAGAGGTCTCACCAGTCCATTTTGTGAGAGAAGTGAGAAAGTCTTGTAATTCAAAACCACCACCTGTGGCCAACAGCTGCAGAAAACATTCAGCCTCCCAAAGTTGATTCATGCAGGCACAAATCACTGAGATGTGCTGTGTCCCCATCCAATGGCATATTTTAAGGCAGGAGCTGAACAGCACGGGAGATAATATTGGGGACAGAGCAGAGTCCCGTCCTGCAGTTCCCATCACAGCTATATTCGGAGCCATCCTTAGACCTCACAGGACTAAAAGAAAGGTTTCTCCAACACAGAATGCTACAAAAATTTTCAAGATTTCTTTTCAAGAGTTTGATTCACAGTACTTTTTGAAGCAGGAAGGAACTGGGACCCTCCCTAGCCTTCACGTAGGGCATGCACAGGAAAGCTGCTTGGAGGATGCCATGCATGATTGTTGGAGGGAACTCTGGCCAGGGCCATAGAGGTGCAGGTCTAGGGGTGAAAAACTCATAGCACAGCAAGCTTTTTCATGGGCTAACAAGTGCGCTAGGAGTCTACACTGCAAACCAGTGCTTCCCAACACCAGGGGCAACCCCGAGCAAGGGCATTTGGATTTCAGAGTGGCCAGTCAGGTGAGGGGC